CAATTAAGTATTTATAGAAGTGACAACTGGCTAGCATGCATCACTGTTAACACACACATGCACACACAGCCGCATGCAGTAATGATGGCAATACATGTAAATGTATGCACATTTATTAGACACGTTGTTCCTCAGACATATTGCAGTGTTTTGAATATTTTAAATGTGATTGTCTTACTTCCACAGATAAAATGACAGCCAGCCATGTTCGTTTACTCCTCCTGTCAATTAAAATATCACAGAAAAAACATGCCGGCTCTACACTAAATGGCCCAGCTAAGATCTCTTTAATGCTGTGAGGCAACATCAGATCTACAGTTCTCTCCTGCTGCTGAAAGTTGATGACGGTCAATAATGTTTTTTTCACCACTTGTGTGATCTCATGAATTGCAATGCTTTCCCCAGCTTTCACTAAAACAGCTATAATTCCTTCATTTTTTAATAAAGATTATCTACCGGTAGTTTGAAAATCTAGCATTAAAGGTGGCAGGCAATATGCATCGTTCAAGGAATGCTAAGCGTGATAATTACTCATTCACATGTGCATAAGGGTAAAATTTTCATTAATAGCTTTGTTAAAATGTTTACTTTCAATCCAATTAGCTGTGAAACCGGCTTTGTTGCACACTGTTGTGACAGCCACGTAATGGGCAACTGTGGTGAAACTGTGTGAAAAGAGAAAGTTGGTGGTCACGGAGGTCTTCACAGTTTTCACTTCGCCTACTGTTGAAGTTTCTTCAGAACATCAGTGAAACTCCTCTGACACTGCTGAGGGACACAAACTACTTCATTAAAGAATACAACTTCTTAATGAATGCCTCATTATTACACTTCAGACTGAATTGTTAGAAGAATCCAGTTGTGTCAACATCTTCTTCTTCTTCTGGCTGTTCCCACTAAGGGTTACCATAATGAGTCATCCTCCTCCATCTCACTCTGTTCTCACTCCAACTACCTCACCGCTGTCTTGTAAACTTTTCATTTGATCTTTGCTGCCATTATTTTGACACAAATCACTCCTGAAACTTTTCTCCATCCACTCCATCCTGCCTGGACTTTCTTCTTCACCTCTTTACCACATTCCCCATTTTCCTGGACAGTGGACCTGAAGTAATTGAAGTCCTGCACCTTTGTGACCTCTGCTCCTTGTAGCTTCACTGTTCCACCTCCTCCCTCTCATTCACACACATGTACTCTGTCTTACTACGGCTGACTTTCAGTCCTCTTCTTTCAAGTTCATACCTCCACCTCTCCAAGTTCTTTTCCACCTGTTCCCTGTTCTCACCACAGATCATGACGTCATCTGCAAACATCATAGTCCGCAGGGATTCCTGCCTGACCTCATCTGTTGGTCCAGCACCAGAGCAAACAAGAAGGGGCTCAGAGTTGATCCTTGATGCACTCCCACCTCCACCTTGAAGTAGTCTGTCACTCCTACAGGACATGTCACCACTGTCTTACTGTCCTCATGTCCTGTAGCAGTCTAACATACTTCTCTACACTCCAGATTTCCTCATGCAATACCACACCTCCTCCCTCAACACCCTGTCAAATGATTTTTCTAAATCCAGACAGACACAATGGAGTTCTTTCTGACCCTCATACTTCTCTATCAGCATCCTCAAAGCAAAGATGGCATCTGTGGTGCTTTTTCTAGGCATGAAACCATACTGCTGCTCATAAATAGTCACCTCTGGTCTAAGTCTAGATTCCACAAGTCTCTCCCAGATCTTCATCATGTGACTCATCAACTTAATTCTGCTGTAGTTGCTACAACTCTGTACATCATTCTTGTTCTTAAAAATGGGCCCCAGCACACCTCTTCTCCATTCTTCGGGTATTTTCCTCACTCTTATAGATGCCATTAAATAATTGCATCAAACACCTCACTGTCATCTCCCCTACACACATGGGCCGAGATGGTGTAGAGGCAGGGCAGCCGGCTTGGGACCCAAAAGTCCCAGGTTCGATCCCCAGTCACTGCACATCACGTGGTGTCTTTGGGCAGCACACCTCATCCCCAAAATGCCTCCCGGGCGCTTTCAATAGCTGCCCACTGCACCACCTGGTGGTGGATGGGTTAAATGCAGAGACTAATTTCGCCATTGTATGGAAACATACAGTGCTGACATTGTGATGACATTATTATTATTATTATTATTATACTGTACCTATACTAGTATTTCATCTGGTCCAACTACCTTTCTCTTTTTCATTCTCTTCAAAGCTTACTGCACTTCATCCATCCTGACTAATCTTTCCCTCTTCCTCGTCCACATACATCTACTCTTCCTTTCATTCTCTTTATTCATTAACTCCTGAAATTACTTCTTAAACCATCCCATTACACACTCCCTGCTTGATAGAACATTACCATTTCTATCTTTAAGAAGCCTAACCTGCTGCACATCCTTTCCAGCCTGATCCCACTGCCTCCAAGTCCAACAAAAATATTTATTTTCTTATTTAACGTTTATCAGTCTCATTGAGTCACAAGGACTCATTTTCAAGAGAGACCTGTTTGGGAGCAGTTGGTGGGGGTTATATCACCCCGTGGTACAAACAAATGCACAAAGCACCTTGGTTTAACATTTTTATTTATTTTTCAGAATGACTAGAACTTAATTTCTCAACATGATTATCTTGATTTGAAATGGAAAAGTAAATGTTTTAATTTGGTATATGTAATAGTTGATCCAAGATGGTTCAGTTGGATTTAAGCTGCTTCATATTAAATCATTTTATTTCAATAAAACCTCCTTGTCAACATTTAAAAAAATGTAAAAATATTTAAATTAATTATAAAATGATTGTGTGGCTCGAACGTTTGAATGTAACTACAGTATGGTGTAGATCAGTAGTGGCTGCTGAGGAACAATATTATTTGGGCAGACATTTTTTTTTCCTGAAATTGTTTACATAGTGTTACATTATATTGTGACACGTTACATTGATACATTTTCTGTGAAAAAAAAAAGATATATGCAGCTTAATACTCAATTTTTTGTTGTTAAACATGTAAACTTAAGATTAAATGATGATACAGCATAGCATAACTAAATGAAATAGAATATTTAAATGGGGATCAAACCCACAGACACTCTGTTACGTACATCTGCTTCAACCATTGACCCACCACAGCCACACGCCACAGAATTGTTTAAATAAGCTCCTAACATGTTGGTGGAAATTTCCTTTTTTATTAACTTTCTTCTGTTCTTTTCAATTTTATGTTCTGGTCCCATCTGTCTACTCCACGTGGATTTAAAAACAGAATATCTCCACTGTTGGTCTCAGCAGGTTTCGTTGCAGCTATTCCTGGGTTTAAGCTCACGTCAGGTCTAGGTAGAGGTCGTATCAATGCGCTAAAACCAACCGAATGCGTCCACAGGGCTGAAAATCAAACGCCCCAAATTTATTTCTATTGGACCTGCCTGTTTGGACCAGTGGCCACACGTTCGGATTCGCTTGATGAACGCGGGTCATTGAACAGTACAGACCCATAAATGGGTAAAAGACAGGATGAATCACTAAAATTTACTTTAAATTCCACTTTTCATTGTCAAAATAGTTGAAAAATACACAGAACAATACACAGCAACTAGGACAACAACAGGAACTACTTTGTGGGTCGGATTGTTTTCTTAGTTGGCTCTGCCCCACCTGCCTGAATGGACTGGTGCGACTGGTGTAGTTGGTGTCTACACACACTGGGTGCACCTGTCCTCTTATAGTATAAGAGGACAGGTGCACCCAGTGTGTGTAGCTCTTCACTTTTAGGAAGATATGGTGTATAGACTGTAAAGCCATGAAAAAAAAAATATTTCCTCAATTACAGCTTAAAAAATAAATACACATCAGCTCATGAGGTCAATTATTTTTGTTTTCTGTCATGAATCTCTTAATTATATGTTTTGCACACACAATATATTATATAGAACAGGGGTCACCAACCTTTTTGAGACTGAGAGCTACTTTAGGGAGGCTGAGAAACATCAAGGGCTACGTTTACATGAATCTGCACTGCTCACCTTTAATTATAGTATCATTAATCAATTTACATACATGTGAAGAGATGATTGCCTGATCACATCTTAATGTTAAAGACTCCTCGCAGAGCCAATCTCTGCTGCTGCAAAGTTCTCAATTTGAATCAGTTTTGGGACTTTTCTGTGTGACTAAATTGATCCTTGGTGTGCAGATGTTGTTTGTCTCTTTGTCTATCTGTGATGGACAGAAGACCTGTCCAGGCTGTCCCCTGATTCACCTTATAAGGCAGCTGAGATAGGCTTCAGCAGCCCTCACCCCCCAAAAAACTACAAAAACTGCACCGCTTAGAGACCGCAGTGCGCCTGCACATGATTCTGAACTTTGTTTGGGGAGTGGTGGTGCAGAGGTTAGAAGATGGGCCTGTGATCAGAAAGTTGCAGGTTCAACTCCCAGTACTGTCAACATCAAAATGTGGGAGGAAAAGGTGAAACACCCACACCTCCCTCCACCCTCATTCGCCCCACTCTGGGCCCATGAGCAAGGCCCTTAACCCCCACCATCTGCTCCCCAAACAGATCTCTCTTGAAAATGAGTGGCTCAATGAGACTACCTGGATAAATAAAATGTAAATGAAAAAAATAAGAAAAAAAAATAATAATTTCACTTTTTTTACTTTCTTTATTTTATTTTTTATTATTTCTTTTCCACATATGCTGACCAGAATTATTTTGGTTACTTACAGATTTATTTATTTATTTTTCATTAATTCAACCTTTATTTATACAGGTTAGTCTCACTGAGTCTCGAGGACTCGTTTACAAGAGACCTGTAAATATATTGCTCTTCTTTTTAATACAGTAACAATGTTCAATGCTTAAAAGAAAAATAAAAAAGTCACGTTATAAGTAAAATATATTTAAAAAATCAATCAATGTAAACGCTTGTTGTCGTTTAAGTCCCGATTCAAAAAAAAAAAAAAAAAAAAAAAGATCCGTGGGAGCACGTCATCACGCTTTTTTACGTCGGCGTCTGACGTCATCACGTATATTTCCAAACAATGCTCAGGAAAAAGCCACGTTGACGATACGGACAGAGGAGTAGAGCACAGTTTGGGGCAAAACAAAGCTGGAATTTGTTTGTCGGACGCCTCGGTTCGTGTTATCAGCAGACTGTGGGTTGGAGAGGGCAACATGTCGTCCCCCCCGAAGGAGAAAAATGAAACCAAAGGCGGACACCTCCCTGCAGGTAAAGCCCCCTCGCTTGTTGTTGTTGTGCAGCTTTTAACTCATTGCTTTTTGGACCCGGAGGCCTTTGGTTTTTGTTCCCTGCCAAACCAAGAATCACATGACGAACAATTACCATGCATGCCTTTAAGTGTCTGACTATAACATCCAGATTGCGCGTGATATTTCCTTGTTTTGCTTATATATCCTCACTTCCTGATCTCTGGGATCTTGCAAGATCTCCGTTCAAGCTGTGGGCTGGTGACTGCACAGCCACGTATCATGGCTGCAGAGCTGGGCCACATGGACGCGCGGTGACGTCGACTACAAGCCCGGGCTGAGGCGTGCGTGGACCAGACGGGTCCAGACGGCTGTGGGCCGCAGCATCTGCAGCCATGACTGTTAGCACAGTGAGATAAAACGTGGCCCTCGCACCCATCCTGCTCACAGTCTGTCAGTCATTAACAAACGTGCACGTACGTCGTGGGTTTCTGCAGGTTGTCAGCAGGACCGGGTCAGCTCCAAACATTCTGCAGCTGGCAAGCCTCCCAATCATTTTGACTTTAATTAGTCAATGTTGACAACAAAACGACTTTTTGCAAGATCCAAATTGATCAGTGGAGCCCTCTTTATTAGTGGTCAATTAAAATACAGCAATGCCTACCTGAAGATATATTTCCTTAGCATGTGTGTTTATTTATATACTTTTTTTTTTTTAAGTAAACCATGCTAGCTTTCCCAGCAAATAGTTTTTTTTTCAGGCTTGAACCGCTCTGATAATCCATCCATGGACGGTGTGTGGTAAATAAAAGTAAAGACATTTTAAATACAGCTTTGTTGTCAACATCTATACTGAAATGATGCATCGATGGTTTTAGGGCAGGGAAGGTACCAGGAACCCACCATTGACTAAATATTTGCTACAAAGATTGTGTAAAAGCTGTGAGCTGGTGACGTATGTTCAGTAACAGCTAAATGATATGCACAGCACTTAGACTTAAATTAAATGAAAAGTGTTAAATGTTATTTATTATCGTTAGTCACCTGCGATGCTGTCTCACTTGTGGAGGTTTGTTCCAGGTTCCTATAGCTGCAGTGTGGGATCCTCTGCACTCCTGTGCATGAAGGACACACTTTTTAAGTTCAAATGTTGTGTCCGTCCATTGTGCCGTAAGACTAATCACGCTAACGGGGCTAACACGACGTCCACGTGTCTGTGGTAAAACGCACCCAAGTCTTGCTATCGGCTATTAGCTTCTCAATGACGTCGGAAAAATTTCTCCGACTGGGGACGATGTAGCGAGGCTCAACGTATTCCAAAACTCTTAGGAATCCGACATCCTCACCAACAACAAAAAAAAACTTCCACACCGCCGACATTTTGAATTTTCCTCTCTCCGCCGTGAGATCAGGTAGGTGCACGTGACATCCTCACGTTGTGCTGCAGGCATCCTTGTCACTGGGTTGCCATACAAAAACTGTGCCTTTTTATATTGGTGAGTTATTTTGTTGAAATGGCCGATATTGAACTTTATCGCTAATATCGTCCGATACCATGCCGATAATATCGTGTATCACTAATTTACATACTTTTACGTTCTGCTTTTTTCTTTTTTTTTTCATTCAACATTTATTTAAACAGGTTAGTCCCATTGAGCCACGAGGACTCGTTTACAAAAGAGACCTGAATTTTAACAAAGAAGTGGACAACAACAATAGACAATCACACAGGATGCATATAAATGTAATTTAAAAAATGTATCATATGTATAGCCCACTAACATATTAGCATTAGCTTACACGTCGTCTAGCTCGCAACTTTATGGCTTCCCACACTCTTGTAATTCTCCTGAGTCTTTCTCCTCGCGGCCCGCAGCCTTTTCTGGGTCTCTTGGACGTCTGGCAACGAGACACAGACTGAGCAGAATGTTCAACAAAACTACAAGATCCTCCTTTTTTTGTTTTCTTTTCATGGTCGTCTTCTAACATGTTTAGCGGTGGCTAGTAAATAGCTTAATGGCGCACTACCGCCACCAGCTGGTAAGGCGCGTTGGACTCTGAACCCGCCCACTAGAACCGGTACTGCAGTGTAATGGAAAAGCAACATGTACCGTGCTGAGCCAAGTCGAATCGTTCTGAGCCGTCGCTGTGGAAAAGGGGCATAAGTTGGGAAGTTGGGAGCTTCTCTCTGCAGACAAACACGAACCAGACGTGGGAATCACTGTCAATGCTAGAAAAGTTGCGCCTCCTAAAATGAATTACCGTGAATTGTTGAAAATCTGCATTGTGTAAAATTAATTTTCACAAATGCTACAAATGTCGTGCTGCCCAAAATGCTTGAAAAGTAGATCCACCTAAAATTTAATTATCATAATTGTTAAAAAAAAAAAAAAAAAAAAGCTGCACTGCTTTAAATAATCACATCAAGTTACTGAAATACACTATGCACAATGAATTACAATGAGTTCTTAAAAGGCTGCATTGTTTAAAATAAACTGCTTTAAATGCTGAAGAAGAAGAAGAAGCTGCTCTGCTAAAAACTAATGATGAAAACTGTGGGAAAAGCTGCACCACCTCTGTCCGTAAACTTTGAAGTATTTACACTTTATCTCCAGCTCATCCCTAAGAGTCATTATTTTCAAATATATGACTTTGACTTTTTGCAATACCTTGAAGTTATTGATATCGTAATCACCGTGTGTGTTTCAGTAAAGGCAGGCGGTATGAGGATAGTGCAGAAGCACCAGGCACCTCCTGCTCCTGAACCCCTGCAGAAAGAAGAGGAGGAAGAGTATGTCAGCACCAGGTAACGCACTATTATCGAACTAAAATGCATAATTTTTTTAATACTTTGGATGTTTACTATCCGTTTTGTGCAATATTAACATAAACCATACACATAAAGCCAATCTAATGATGGTGGGGTGTTTTTTAGGTACAAGTACTTATAGATTGTTCACTAAGCTGTTCGAAGACTTGGAAAGGATTCCTTTTTGTTTATGGAGCGCACGTCCTCCATCTGGGGAACAAGCAGCAGAAATAACACCATGCTTGAGCAAACGGCTCTTTCAGCGCTGCCTCTGACTGAACAGACAAGAAGCTGAAACATGTGCCTGGGGGTGAACCTCTCTTTAATTAGGCAGTGGTCATGGTTTCTCAAAAAGTCACCTGACGCGTTGCTTGGAACCGGACAACAAATGTCAAAAGGGGCTCTGTAAGGTCTCCAAAGCAAATCTCAGCAAACAAATGAACTAAAGGGTATAATTTACAGTTGAAGTGTGTCCGTTGGAACAAAATTATATATGTCCACCTTCTAAAAAACTTTAATTATTTGAAAATATCAGGCACTTTTCTACACGTAAGCTCATGAACATGTGGCAATACTCATGACTGTAGTAAATAGGGTCGTAGTTGGCAACTGGTGGTTGTGGGGTTGACACCAAACCAGTAGCCTGTGTCCTTAATAAAGGAAAAATGGCACAAGAAGAAAGGAAAGGAAGGTCACGTTGTGATTATTTCTTAACATCAGTAATTATTTGTCTTGTTTAGACTCTAGGAAGAAAATGAGATCAGAGATTACAGAAAGTCACCAAAACAGATGAGAAAACGGCCGTGGAGGTCGTGGTGGGTAATGCAGTCAGTAATCTTCCTCAGTCTGGTCACGCCCCTCTGCCTTCTGTCTAACCACCCTCTATGGTCACTGGAGTTGCAAAAACTGCTGCGTTGGGGAGTTTGGACTGAGAACAAAACCAAGACTAAGACAATGAAGAGCTATAGTGCAACTTGTTGTACAAACAGACTCGGCAGCATTTCATGCATGTTTTATGAGTGCAGGTTGTTGAGCATGGAGAAGGAGGCAAAAATCTTCATCCAAATTAGGTTAATCTCTAGTCCAATGAGTGCCACCAAACATCTACTGTATTTTTTGCCCTATAAGTTGCAGGTTTTTTGTATAATTTGCATGCCCGGCGATTTAAACGCCAAATCAACTTATGGATTTTTCCCATATTTATAATCAATTTTTGGCTGAGATGACCGTTTTCATTCATTCTGACTGAAAATGTTGAACACTACCATGTTCAGCCGCTAGATGGCACTGTAGTATGGCATGCCGTTGTGTCATGTAATAGGTAAAAGCGGCTATTAATGACACAACTGGTCATACCAGTCAAATTTTTGTAGGAGTTTTTGGATAAGCCTCAAAACATTAATAATAATTTAAAAAAACATAACTGTGCTCTTGTTTCGAGAACAATTAGCGTAGCCTGGTCAAAGGTGCCTGCTTCTTTCTCTGAACTCTGTGCTTTATGAATGTCATGGCTGGTAAGGCACTGAACTATGTATTGAGAACTTTTTACCCAAACATCACTTCAAATATGACTGGACATTTCCTTAAAGTCCAACCAGGCCCCCTTTTTTTTTGCTTTAGATATAGGTTTGGTCCGTATGGGTGTCAGAATTTTTTTTTTTCATGTACTTAATCTGCATATTCCTTGGTAGGTAACAGGTTTTCTTGTGAGATTGACAGCTTTAAATTTAAGATGGTATTCTCGTTATATTCCTAATGCTATGACTTCACCTCCTGAGGTCAAGGTGAGTGAGAAAGGAGTGTGGGCGTGCATACAGGCAGTTATGTGAGCGCATGGCATATGAGACATAAATACCAAGAAATGCAAGATTGCCTTAATAAACACAAAACAGAGATAGTCCAAATGAACGCAGACAAACTAAAACATGACTCTAAAGTTGTACAAAAGATCCACATACACCTGCGGATCTTGTTAATCAATTTGTGTTCTCTTTGTAAAACAGTAGCACCCCGACTTGATTGTGAGTCCGTGTCACACACAAATGTGCTGGTTTCAAACACACGGCCTGCTAATTGCTACCAAGTCATTTTGCACCTTTCATTCGTTGTAAGCCTCTGCTGTACACATTTTTTGCCATTGACGTTTTGTGTAGCGAAGCCTGCTAATTCAGAAAATAACATGATTACTGCATAATTACCGCATTAACTGGAGCAGCCCATTCAGCAGTCGCCATTGTTCCCCATAAACATCCATGGTTTGCATGTTTTAAATTATACCGGCTATTTTCTAGCAACAATTACTGTTTGACTTCCACATTAGCATGTTTGGCTTTTTGCTGCATTAAAACTACGGTCCCTGCCTTTTGTAATGGGTATGTAGCTTTTAATGTTTAGAATGTTGGTGTGTCTGCTCAATATCCACGAGGACTCGTTAGCAATGTGCATATAGGTACAGGTGCTGTATTCACATGGTGTGTGTGCGTGTGTGTTAGCAAGAGGTGATAAATGGCAAGTGACGAGCACTACACAGGAAGAACACTGTCAACTGTCAAGATCTTTACTTAATATAACCAGCCTTTTGATTATAATCTGCGTGTTCTTCATCCATTTTACTTGTTCTTTGAGTGTTTTCTTGTCATTTAGAGCATGATATTGGCTAGCTTGTAACTGCCAGTAGTAAAGTACTTTGTTTTACTTTCTCTTTGTTTTACGTTTGGTCAAAATTAGTAGTAAAAGTAGACGACGCAGAAAAGTAAGACGAGAGGTCAAGTAGATGACAAACAAAACAACTTGCAGATTCATTTTACTACTTTTCAAGGACCGGCTGGTGGATTGAAATTATCAGGAGGAGCTGAAACAGATCAAAGTGAATTACGTTTTCATTTCTTATATATACAGTATATTTTTAAATATATATGCACGCACAGTGCATCCAGAAAGTATTCAGTTTTTTGCTTTTTCCACATTTTATGTTACAGCCTTATTCCAACTTGTATTAAATTAATGTCTTTCCTCAAAATTCGACACACAGTACCCCATTATGACGATGTGAAAAAAGATTTTTTTCAAATTTATTAAAAATGGACAACTAAGAAATCACATTTACGTATAAGTATTCACAGCTTTTTCCATGAAGCTCCAAACTGAGCTCAGATGTTTCCACTGATCATCCTTGAGATGTTTCTCCAACTTAAATGGAGTCCACCTGTGGTACATTCAGTTGATTGGACTTGATTTGGAAAGACACAGCTGTCTATAGAACGTCCCGCAGTTGACTGCGCATGTCAAAGCGCAAACATTAAGCATGAAGCCAAAGGAATTGTCAAGGCAGGATTGTGTGGAGGCTGAAATCTGGGGAAAGATACAGAAACATTTCTGCTGCTTTGAAGGTCCCACTGAGCATAGTGACCTCAGAAATTCAGAAATGGAAGAAGTTTGGAACGAAAAGGACTCTTCCTAGAGCTGGCCAGATGTCTAAACTGAGTGACTGGGGGAGAAAAACATTAGTCAGGGGGGTGACCAAGAACCCGATGATCACCCTGTCAGAGCTTCAGAGTTCCTCTGTGGATTGGAACTCTCCATCTCTGCAGCAATGCACCAATCAGGCTGTATGGTAGAGTGACCAGAAGAAAGGGAGGTGCCCAAGATAAATGTACTAAGCTTGTGACATCATATTCAAAAATACTTGAGGCTGTAAATTCTGTTTAAAGGTGGATCAGCAAAGTATTACGTGAATTCATTCATTCATAAATACTTTATTAAACCCAAAGGGAAATTAAATGTTGTAACTCATTGTCCTAGTTTCATTAAGAGATGTTATAGATGCTGATGGCAGTAGGCAAGAAGGATCTTTTGTAAAGGTCCATCCCTCAGCGAATCTGCAGAAACTCGCCACAGATGCCGTCTGATCCGTCCACCCAGACTCGGCTGGCCTCTCGGTTCTCCACGGGCTGCAGGACCAACCGAATGAACTCCTCCCAGAGCGATGGCCACTCCTCCCAGCAGTCTGCTGAACTCCTCGTCGCAGCGGACAGCTGTATGCAGGTGTCTGGGGACGTTCCCGTTCCTTCTGTCACTAGCCACGTTATCTGCTAGTTCCTGGATTTCAGTGGTCAGGCACTCGAGCACAGCTGGCAGGGAGACGGGAATGCATCTACGGCACCTCCTTTTCAACTCCTTTGAGATTTGAGGCAGTAGCTGAGATATTATTTGAGCTTTTGAGATGTTAATCAGCTGCTCCCAGTAAAAAAAAAAAAAAGCACCTTGTTGCCATGGTTGCGCATCGTAACAAATGTCCAAAACGAAAAGAGTGTCAGTAAATATCCTTCCAGCTGCACAGCATCCGATACCAGAGGAAATAGTCATCCAGAAAAAAAAGGAATAAAAGGAATTCTAGAGGAATACTTGCGTAAATGTGATTTCTTAGTTTTCTATCTTTAATAAATTCGTAAAATTCTCATAAAATCTTCTGCGACGAGGTCAATTGTTCCTGAGACTAAAATAATTACAGATCGGGGGTTAAATAGCAGAGCAAAGACTGGATGCTGGAACTGTGGTGAAATGTTCGCTGAGCCCAGAGCTCAGGGTGGGAAAAGTTGCAAGAAAAGACTGAAAGAAACGAAGGGAGGCAGACCGGCAACAGGCATCTGTTTCCAGGGCAACCACCACCTCGCCCACGGCAACAAACTTCCTGCTCTGCCGAATCAGGCAGAGATGGGTGGGGTGGCGAGAGCAGACAATGGATTAGGAGCTAACGGCTGAGAAAACAATTCAAATAAATAAAGTCAGGCTCATTTCACCATATTGTCTTCCTAGATTACATTAGCCTTTTGTGCGTCCCTTTTCCCCTTCATTTTATTTATTTTCTATTCGAGTAACTCGTCCTCCGTCAGTATCGCTCCTCTTCTGGATGCTTCACAGCTCTCTGGTGCCTCCTGCCTTTGTCTCAAAACGCTGCAACTCAAATCACACAAAATCCAAGGTCTTCATCACATAATGGCTCTTTTTTTTGTCTTCAGCATAAAGATTAAACTAGTTTTTAAAAGGTAATTTATGAGCATAGTTGATGAACTAAGACTTTTGAGAAGAATTTCAATCAAAATGTTTGAGCTTGTAGATGTGCAGCTTTGTCCCACAAATGAAAAAGTCTCGCAACGTTTGGATTTTTGTTTGATCGGCAACAACTTGTCACAATGCAACATGTGGTTAACCAATCAGACAAGAGCATTCTCAACTCTCTATTAGCTTTTAGTATTTTTATCCATGACATCACTTTCTACATCATCCCTGTTTTTGTCTTTTCTGAACGCCCACTGCTTTTCCACTTTATGTTCAAGCTTTCTTTCTTAGTTTAATATAGTTCTCACTGATGGAATGGGCCTTTTAGATTAAAACGTGTTTTATTCATTTATTTATTTTCACTTGGAACTATTTATTTCCCTTAACATATTCAGGACTTAAGTTCTCAAAAACCATACTTGCACCTAATCGAGCGCACACTTGAATTAGGAACCCTTGAGGTCTTAATGCCATATTTGAGTTAATTGAATTGCTAATAAAGAGCCCGTCAACCTCTGACGAGTGCCCAGCCGGTACAAATGTGCAAAATTCAACATATCCAAGCATTCATTTACCGGCAAGATGTAAATGTTCTCATTAAGACAAGGAGCTGTTTGGTGCCAAGGTTCTGATTGCAGATTGACTTTCGACAGATGTGTGAAAACTTCGCTGCACAGTAAACAGCGTTATTTTAAAATCTGTATCAGATGTTGGTTCAGAATGGTAAGTTTTTAATCTTTTTCCACATATTTATCCTGATAATGAATTAGGATCTAAATTGGACGTGTTTGGTTCTCGGCTTGAAGTCTTCGAGGGGACTTTTGAAGGTGGTTAACTACTCCTGCTGGGGGGGGTGACGCTGCGGTTAAATTGGATGGCGCTCGTTTGTCACGCCAAGGTCGATAGTCACTTCAGGTTCCACAGTCCTCCTCATCTTTTCCTCAGCCTCCATCCTTCTGCCTCCACGTGTGAGCGAGCGCTTGCTTCCCTCCTCTCCTTCGACCTATTTACTCGCCCCTAACAGTTGGTTATTACATACAGAAGGCGTTTAGCTCCGCCCCTCCCCCGTCCGCTCCACCGCCTTCCTGCATCTGCTCTGACCCCGTGTCCTATTCTTTACTCTTAACCTGCACTTCTACCGTCCTCCATCTTTTCTTCTTCATCATCATCTTTCTCTTTAATGCTCCTTTTCTCTAATAGCTTTGCTTTTCTTCCGCCTCCCTCCCCTTCTCGTACGCGTTCCATCTAGAGGTTAAGGGAGCCGAAGTTTGGCCAGAATAAATGGGAGTCATTTAAGCTGTTGGCAGGTCCATCCAGTGTGTTTGTGTGTGTTTATGTGCAAACTGCCAGAGACGGTGCAACTTTGGGTGTTTTGACACCTTGGGATGTCCTTATTTTGACACGATGTCACTGTTTTTTTTTTTTTTTCCTTCCACGCAGGCAGACTTGCGTTTAAACTTGTTGTACTTGTAACCTTCACATCAGAAACACACTTAAATTGTTTGTATTCCTCGTTGACGTTTTCTCTTTTTCCTCTGTTTTATTTTTAGCCCACCTAAGGTCCCTGTAATTGTTTCTGGAGTGGTCACAAAGGTAAGATACGTGCACTAAATGATGTAAGCATGCACAGATACCACCATCAGACTTTGTCTGGGATAAACGGTCAGTACGCTCATGTCCCTCGGGAAGGGTTTGAATAATGAATGTAGTTTTCGAGATGAGTGTTTTTCTGGACTGGAATTGAACAGGAAATGCAAGTAAACCTGGAAAGTGGAGGCAAATCTGGCAGTTTTATCAGTTTTATCAGGCAGCGGTGGCCTTAGCCACCATAGATTGATCTTCTGCCATCTCAATCATTTGATAGGCCTGTCGCCATAAACAATAAATCAATTAATCGCATGATAAATTAAAACGAGGTCGATAATTTTCATTTCGATGACAAAAAGCTCAACGCCGTTGCTCGTCACTGACCCCTCCCTTTTTCTTTTCTGCTTAAAATTGGTTGTAACGGTCCAAAATATTGTTTTTGGATCGTTAAAAGCAGCTAAGCTGAGAAGCTAAGCTACGAGCTAAGCTAACAGGCTGACTTCGGAAAAAGCTCCGTCTTGTCGAAGCTCCAAAATTTACGGTTGAAAGTCGTGCCTTTGCGTAAAAAGTTGTTTTTCTCTGAAAAAAGAAGCTGAGAACTTGTTTACTCTTTTTTTATTTTTTATTAAAAGCTTTGTTTGAAAAATGCTATGTTAAAGGGCTCCAACCACACAGAGCGTCTGCCATTTTTAGAACCGAAAAACAGGAAGGAGAGACAGCCCATGTCACGTCAAGGGGCCTCCCTCCCATTTTTCTTAAAGACGCGCTGCTTGCTCCCTCACTGTCCATCGTTTGGTTCAATCTTATACTGCCATCCGGTGGTCAAAAAAGGAACTAGATTTCCTCTTAAATTAGACAATAATTACTAATTGTCAAATTTCAAACAATATTATCGTTTATCGCAATAATTTGAGATAATTAATCGCCCAGCAAAATTTATCGTGACAGGCCTATTTGAGGAGACTACACTTTTAAGCAATACAACTAGAAAATAGTTTTCTCAAATGATAGGCGTGGTCAGTTTACATGCACGTATAAGGTGGTGGCCATCTTGAATTTTGACTTGGCAACCCAATTTATGTTGTTGCTGGATGGACGGTATTTCCAGATCTCTCTTGGCTCCGTGATGGTACGAAAAGTTTGTACCCAGTCTTCTCACGGACCTGCAGCCAAATAAAGCAATTTGTTGTAAAATGATCCCCCTGCTGTTTTTTTAATTTTTTTATTTGAACCACCTACTTTTACAGCCGTATGTTGCCCATTCCCACCATTTTATAGATGTCGCTGTTATCAATTGCAAAATTACCTTATTTTTATTTTCAAAAATGACAGTTACTTTTTTACAATTTTACACAATATCCCAACTTGTTTGAAATTGGGGTTGTACAATGCGTGATTTTTTTTTTTTTTCCATAAGTGGGTGTTTCAGATTTACAGCTTTTATTTTTCATTTTGAAAAGTGACTCGGTGTGCTTTTTGTTTTATTCCTTTTAATCATATTTTTGTTAGTGAGTGTGAAGAGTCCCTGATAGCCTGAATGACTTTCTTCTCTGCGTTCTGCATGCCTGGGTCAGAGTAGGCAGATTGTGGAAGATTGTGGTAATATCAGACGGTGGCAAGCGCCCCATTTATTCCTCAATCCTCTGTCGAGCTCCTATCGCTTCCGTCAGACCCACAAGCTTCAGGAAAGCTTTTTAAAAGCCGAGTGAAACACTTAAATGTGTGTTTGGGCATGGAAAGGTCACTTTGTGTTGCTCTTTTCTGAAATGTTCCTCAGAAAGACACTTTTTTTGTCTTTCTTGATTGACTGTAGACGTTAGTGGCTTAAACTGCTTTTAATTCCCAGCGTAGAGCTGATTTTTGTTGAATTTTCCCAACAAGGTTTTGTCTCTTAAAAGAAAAAGTTTTCTACTATTTGTAGTATGAAAAAAGGCAGTTTTATGTAATCAATAGTGAAATATTAATAAATCAAAGGGGTTTAAAAGTTTCATGCAACCTTGGCAAGCCTAAAACTGGATCTGATTGTCAGTTTTAAATATTTAGTTAAAATTTGTATTGTTTGTAGCCGAGTCAGTCCCAACATACTCCCATGTAAGAGATCTGGTTTTTTTTTAAACAATACCTAAACTATTCCAGTCAACTATGCCTGTCTGTTAGTAAAATATCACACTGAATTAGTAAAACTCAGAAAGAAATCATTGGATTTAATTGAATTCAGTTTATTTATATAATGCTAAGTCACAACAGAAGTTGTCTCTGAGCATAAGTTAACATGCTCCTGAGCTAAATAATAAATATAAGTGTTTCTGTTCAGTGCCCTGAGACGACTTCTGTTGTGACTTGGAATTATATAAATAAACTGAACTGGAATTGAACCATTTATCTGAGGATCAGAGTTTAACTCCATCACAGAACTCTCATCTTGAACAAGCATGAAGGCGACAGTGGAAAGAAAAACTCCCTCGTGAGGAAGAAACCTTTATCAGAACCAGGCTCAGGACAAGCAGCCATCTGCTTCGACCGGCTGGGTTTGAGAGGAACAGATACACAATGGCAGGTCAAGAATCACATGTTCAGATATAAATAGTATCAAATGAAAACTATTCATTTTTAACAATTCATTTAAGGAAATGAGGTTATTTTGTCCTCTAGTAGACTAAGCCTATAGCAACATAACAAGCCGACCCTAACTATAGGATTTATCAAAAAGGAAAGTCTTAAGCCCAGTCAATAAAGTTCATGCTCAATCATCCAGGTACCAAATCCAATAATGCTCAGTCAGGTCATCTGGACAGTTTCTTTTTTTGTAGAGACGTTTTGCCCTCGATCCGGAGGGCTTCATCAGTCTGAGGAGTTCCAAGTAAACCGTTTCCCCACAAAGTAGTAAACTCCTTAAGTGGACCAACCAGTTTATGGAGATAAGATGGTTTCTGGGGCTGTCCTGTCCCCCGTCAACTCCTCCCATTTCCTCCCAGGTAGGCAGCCTCAGTCAAAATGGTTCAAAGCAACAAAGTTCATGCTCAATCATCCAGGTACCAAATAATGCTCACTGTCATCTGGACAGTTTTTTTTTTTGGTAGAGACATTTCGCCCTCTATCCAGAGGGCTTCATCAGACTGAGGAGTTTTAAGCCCAGTCTTAAACTGGACAATGTGTCAGCCTCACAGACAGAAACTGGAAGTTGGTTCCTCAAGAAAAGAGCCTGATAACTGAAAGATCTTCCTCCCATTCTGCTTTTGGAAACTCTAGGAACCACAAGTAAACCTGCAGTCTGAGAGAGAAGTGCTCTGTTGGGAGAATCTGGACCAATAAGATCTGTAATATAAGATGGAGCTAGGTTGTTGAGGGCTTTGTAGGTTAGAAGTAAGATTTTGAATTCTGTTCTGGATTTGACAGGGAGCCAATGGAGAGAAGCTAAAACTGGAGAGATATGATCTCTCCCAGTAACTCCAGTTAAGACTCTGGCAGCAGCATGTTGGATCAACTGAAGACGTTTTAAAGAAGTATTTGGACACCCAGATAACAAACCATTACAATAGTCCAGTCTAGACGTGACGCATGCATGGACCAGTTTTTCTGCATCATCTTTAGATCAGATGTTTCTAATGTTAGTGATATTACGCAGGTGGAAGAAGGAGGTTCTAGTAACGTTTTTAATGTGGGGGATAAAAGACATGTCCTGATCAAAAATAACACCAAGATTTTTAACATTAGAGCTGCAGGACAGATTAATGCATCTAAGGAGGGAGAAAGACTGAAATTCATTCCTAAGGTGCTCAGGTCCAAAAACTAAAAACTCAGTCTTGTCTGTGTTCAAAAGCAGAAAATTTAGAGTCATTCAGGTTTTTATGTCTTTAAGACTTGCTTGTAGTCTAAGTAGCTGATTGGATTCATTGGATTTCATGGACAAATATAACTGCATCATCAGCATAACAATGAAAATGTATTACCTTTTTTTAATGACTCCATTCAAGATGGTCACCACAGCTAATGAATTTTGGTCAACACCAACACGGCTGTGCTTTAATATTACAAAGAGATCGTTGTGTACATGGTTTGACCAAAATGGCTCTTTTATGTACAAAGTTTGCAGCTTAGGTTCCCATGTGAAGTCTGGCGCTGACTGACTGTGTTGTGTTCAGGGCGATAAGGACTTCACGCCTGCAGCAGCTCAGGTGGCTCACCAGAAGCCTCAGCCTGGTATCCCAAAGCTGCCTCCCACCCAGCACATCAACCAACACATCCACCAGCCCCGCAAGTGAGCCGAGCGGGCGCCAACGGTTATACTTTAACTCCAACAGCCAGCCTTCCCAACGGAGCGTGAAATATGAAGATGGTTCCCAACCAGGGCTCAGATCTCTCTGTAATACCAGTAATTTTTTTTTTTTTTTTGCTTTATATAATCAAGAAAAATGTGTGCGCAACAGATGTTCCATATAAACCGTACACCCTGCTGCAATGCTGGTTCTGCACTTTGATGATCTCTTTTGTAAAGCCTGCTTGGTAGTCTTATTGATCTGAACAAAGCCTTCTCACTACAGGACAACTGAGCACAGTTAACCTTATTTTTTTTTATGGAAATCTCTAGCAACTTGCCTAACATGCCAACAAAACCATCCACCTCATAGTGACGAGCCCTGGCTCAAGCCTTTCTTTTGACCGTTTTCACCAAGTCTTTAACAGATTGTGCAGCACCACATGCCAAAATCAGCACATCCAGGTGCTTTTGGAAGGCGAGAGTCGGTTTACCACTTAGGTTACAAGTTAGAGTAAAATGCATGAGATAACTGCAATAGACAGTATTAATCAATCAGTGCGTCTGCAGACAACATCAGCATTCCATTTGTTCCTGTCTGCCACTTTAACACAAGAAATCTCCAAAATGTTTTGTAATAATATATTCAGATAAAAAATATATCAATCAAATGCTGGCATTGATATAATAATGGCTCGCTGTGTTCGGATTATTATATCTTTACTAACATTTTCACAATTCCATGTACTGATCCGGATCCTGCCTTTTATTTAAGAGCGTTTCACCATCCAGCGCCTCACTTGTAACTCCACTCTTGGCAGCGAGAGCTAATTTATATGCAAACTCAATCTGTCTCGCCGTTCAGTCTCATTGCTTTAATGCTGAGATTTGCTGGCTTATTTGCCCCGGTGAATTTACATTTTTATCTGCTACACAATGAAAATGTTGCCAAAACTATAATGAGAGCTAAAGAAAAACGACAGGACTGTTAGTCTGAACACCAGAGGAGCGGTTCACACCGGCGACGAGGGATTAGCTGTCAAATGAAGGCGAGCGTATTGAAATGTTAACATTCCATATGAAAGTGTTTGGATAACGGTGTCATGGTAAAGAAACGTCTTTGTGCTGACAAACACGGATCGTCACATATCAAAAGTTCAGGTTTTCAATTCCCCAACGCAAAAACGCAATCGTTTCCCGTAAACGCCCGTCTTCAGTTGTTGCAACACTAATGTTCAGGTGACCAGTGAAGGACAGAAATGTATCATAATGAGGAAAAAATCATTTTCTCTGGTGATGTAATTAAGTTTAAAAGGTTTCATTCTTTTATTTTATTTGTGAATCATACAAACTGTACAAATCTTTAGTCATAAAGTGAACTTGGGTTTTAGGTGTGGTTGTTGTAATAAATAAAGATGGAGATTACCTCAGAATAAATCTTCAGCTTGTTTTTATTTGAATTACCGTATTTTCCGGTGTATAATTTGCAGTTTTTTTTCCATAGGTTTGTCTGTTCTGTGACTTATATAGGCTACGTTTTTTTTTTTTTTTCACCATATACATAATGCAATTTTTGACTGACGCTTTGGATTTTGAAGAATTGCAACAGAGTCCTCCCGTGCACGCTCGCTTCACTCAGCTGGTGCAGGCGGAGGAACGCTGAGACCTTGTGGCTCCGGTCGTGATGGATGAATGGATGGATGGCACTGCACCGCCCAGGTGAAACGAAGCAGTTTTGACCATTAAAGTGCATTTATTAAGGAAAAGTTCAACTGAGACACCTTTGCTATAATGCCGAGCAAACAAATACCGTATTTTTCACCCTATAAGTTGCAACTATTATTTTTTTTAATTTGCTTGCATCTTATAGGCTGAACCTACATATTTATGGATTTTTTTCCCTATAACCCTATTTTTAGCTGAGATATGACTTCATTCATTGACTGAAAAATTTGGACACTACCACTTTTCAGATGGCACCAGCATTGTATGGCATGCTGTTGAATCATGTAATGGCTAAAAGTGACTATAATGACAAATTCAAAAAAGTACAACTAGACTTTATTCATTATATTTTACTTTATTGTTTTTGTCTGGAACTTTTTTGAATTTACCATGTCTTGGATGACTGAGAATCTTCACCAGCTATTAATGACACAATCTGCTTGCCTTATAGTTCCACCTTCATTCTGCACGCTTCTTGGAGCAACCATCAAATGAGCTTCATGTTGCTGCACCGCCCTGGTGAAATGCAGCTAATTTGACCATTAAAATGCATTTATTAAGTAAAAGTTCAACTGAGACACACCTTTGCTATAATTTCAAGCAAACAAATAATTGTTTAGGTGCTTTTCTTGTTAAATTTCGAAGAAACGTGCAGCGTTCCTCGTCCCTTTGTTCCTTCCTGTCTGCGCGCTCCCAGGAGCACCGAGGCATCAAATAATTTTGAAATACAGCTAATTTGACCGTTAGTCCTTTTATTAAGGAAATGCTAGACTGAGACACACCTTTACTATAACGTTGAGCAAACAAATAGTTTTTAATTGTTTATCTTGTTAAATTTTGAAGAAATGAACTGTGGCTCGTCCCTCTGTGCGTGCCCGCTTCAGCGAATCGGGTTTTGCGATGCAGCTAGTTTGACCGTCAAAGTGCATTTATTAAGCAAAAGTTAGACTGAGCCACAGCTTTACTGAAATTTTGAGCAAACAATTGTTTTTTAAGTGTTAATATTGTTAAATTATTTAAAGTCCTCCCATGCACGCTCTTGCAGCCTCCATTTGGCAGCCAATCGATTTTTGGCACAACACCGGCCCACATTTCCGGGTTGTCAGCGGTGACGCATAATAGATGCGACGTATACGACGAAGTGACACATTTATGGATTTTTCAACTGATGCGACTTGCAGGGCGGAGCGACGTTTACGGCGGAAAGTACGGTAATTGTTTTTAAGTGTTAATCTTGTTAAATTGCGAATAATTGCAACAGCGAGTCCTCCCGTCCTCGCTCGCTTCACTCAGCTGGTGCAGGTGGAGGAACGCTGGAGAGCTAGCGGCTTTGGCTGCGATGGATGGCGCTGTGCCACCCAGGCAAAATGAAGCTGTTTTGATAATTAAATAAGCGCGACCGGTCAGCGGTGACGCATTATAAATGCGACTTATACGCCGAAGCGACTTGTATAAGTTTTCCTCTTCATGATGCTTTTTTTGACTCGTGCGACTTGTTTTCCGGAGCGACTTATACGCCGGAAAATGCAGTATCAGTAATACGGTGCAGTTTTACTAGATTGAGACTCAGTTGGGGTATTAAGATATTTTTGAAACTGCTAGAAAAGATTTATATTAAGGTTCCAACATTTTGTTCTACTTGATGTATTATCTCTGGGAGTGTGGACATCCAGTGGTGAATTAGCACCCTGGACCAGGGGGATTAGGGCTCAGGTGGCGCTCTAAAATGAAACGGAATCGTTTCACCCTGGGCTGTTTTCCATTTGACACACACAGCATGCAGCAGGTGTTAGTGCATGTAATCCATCTTTACACAAGCATCTGCAACCAGGTGTTCTGTCAGCTTATGTTAGGCCAATAAAGCAGTGCATGCTCAGTTGGTCAGTGAGCTGAAACTCTGCATTAAAGCAGCAGCAATCTCCTCCTCTCTCATCCCCTGCCATGCCGCCTTATACTGAGAAGAAGCACAATGAAGGCGAGACAGTAATGCAAATTGGTATACTTCCTGGCAGCAAGAACTGAAGCATCTCTGGCTGTAATGTGTAAAATCCGTCTATTCGTTTTCTGCTTATTCACGGTCGGGTTGGAAGACCAGACGTTGCTCTCCCCAGCAATGCTGCAGCTCCTGGAGAATGTCGAGGTGCTCCCAGGCCAGAGAGAGGACAAGATCCTTTCAGCAAGTTCTGGTCTTCCTTTGGAACATGTCCAGAAAACCCTTCAGAGGGAGGTGCCCAGGAGGAATCCTAATCAGATGCCCGAACCAACAGCGGTGGCTGTAATCTGAGCTTCCACTAAATGTTATGAGTTCCTCATCTTTTCACCAAGGCTGAGCCCAGCACCCTTCAAAGAAAGCTCATTTTAGTCTTTTTATATCTGGGATTTGCTCTTTCAGTCATGAGACATACTGTATGATCATTAGTGAGGGTCAGAACATGGACAGTCCAGTAAATTGAGAGCTTTGCCTTTCGACTTCACTTTTTCTTCACCACAACTGACCAGAGCATTGCCCTCATTACTGTGGACAAGACCCCGATCCGTCTCCTGCTCCACCCTAGCATCACTTGTGAAGAAAATGCCCAGATATCTGAACAGCTCCGCTCCTGGAAGAGACTCGGCCCCGATCTGGAGGAAGAATTCCAATTGTTTTCAGGTTTACTACGACCTCAGACTAAGAGGAGCTGGATCTCATTCCATTTGCTTCACACTTGGCTATGAACCACCCCAGTGCATGCTGAAGACCATGGTTTAAAGACCTCAACAGAACAGCATCTGCCATATTTTTCCGACCTATAAGTTTTGTTTTTTTTGCACATGTTGCAAGCTCTGCGACTTCATACGCTGAAGCAACACATTTTATTTTTTCTCCCATGTTTAAACCAATTTTTGGCTGAAATATGACCGTTTTCATTCATGCTGACTGAAAATATTGAACACTACCATATTCGGCCACTAGATGGCACTCGAGTAGTATGGCATGCCGTTGGGTCTTAAAAGTGGCTATTAATGACACAATCGGCTTGCCATAGCCTGCCACTTTCGTCCAGCTCGCCTGGAACAACCGTCAAATCGGCTCCATTTTGCTGCACCGCCCCGGCAAAATGCAGCTAATTTGACCTTTGAAGTGCATTTATTAAGTAAAAGTTCAGCTGAGACACACCTTTACTATAAAGTCGAGCAAAGAAATAATTGTTTTAGGAGCTTATCTTGTTAAATTTTGAAGAAATGCACAGCGTTCCTCCTTACTGATTTCCTCCCTCAGAGTCTCCCGGAGCACCGAGGCACCTAATACTTTTGAAAATGCAGCTGATTTGACCATCAAAGTGCATTTATTAAGTAAAAGTTAGACTGAGACACAACTGTTACTATAATTTCAAGCAAACAATTAAATTGTTTTTAATTGTTTATCTTGTTAAATTCTTGTTTAAAAAATCCTTGCGCGCACGCTCCCACGGTCGTCATTTGGCAGCCCATCGATTTTTGGCACAACACTGGCCCACATTTCCAGGTTGTCAGCAGTGACGCATATTAGATGCAACATGTACGGTGAAACGACATGTA